AGTATGAAAAAAGAATAGTCATGATAGGACTGACAAAAACCATACTGCTTCAAAGCCGTAGACAACTTGGCAAACCAACAGCGGGGAGCCTGCTTCAAGCCATAGAGGGAACGACGAAGACGACAAACTTTCCCATCAACTCCAGAGCGAAAACCAGGGGGAAACTTCATGTAAACCTCCTCAGCCAAATCACCATGAAGAAAAGCATTGTGAACATCCACCTGGTGAACTTCCCAATGCTTAGCAGCAGCCACAGCTAAGAATAACCGGACTGTAACCATTTTGGCGACGGGAGCAAATGTCTCATGATAATCAAGACCTTCCACCTGATTATTGCCCAAAATCACCAAACGCGTTTTATAGCGATCAACGGAACCGTCGTACTTATGCTTTATCTTAAAGACCCACTTGCACCCAATTGCACGCTTCCCAGATGGAAGAGAAACAACATCCCACGTGCCATTATTTACCTAGGCACGAATCTCATCCTGCATAGCGGCTCGCCATCGAGTATCAGTCACAGCATCAGCAAAAGTGCGAGGCTCAACAGCGAAGGCGACGTCAGCCAAAAAGGCTCGATGAGCTGGTGAGAATGAATCACAAGTAACATAATATGCTATGGGATACTGCGTACCGGAGGATGGAGACAACTGGGAAGAAGCAGTGGGTGGTACAGTCGAGGGTCGGACAGTGTCAACCACAAAGTCCTTCAGCCGAGTAGAAGGAACCTTGGTCCGATGACCACGACCCAAGGGCTCCACTGGAAGAGTGTGAGGGGTAATGGTAACAGAACCCCCCCTGTCGCCAGACGTGTCTATATTAGTAGAAGAAGACGCAATATCTGGAGAAATATGAGGCAAAGAGACAACCGGAATATCTTCATCATCATCTGGCGCAGAAGAAACCGGCAAAACAAGAGGCGGTGGCAAAGAATCCGGCTCAGACGAGTCTGAATAATATGGGAATTCAGTCTCAAGAAACTCCACATCACGAGAGACAAAGAAAATCTGACGATCCAAATCATACAGACTCCACCCCTTTTTGCCAAACGGGTAACCGACAAACAGAAAACGACGACTCCGAGCAGCAAACTTGTCACCATGACGATCTTGGTTATGAGCATAACAAAGGCAACCAAAAACCCGCAAATGAGACAAGCAAGGAGCCGAACCATAAAGAATCTCATATGGTGTTTTACCATGTAAAACTGATGAAGGAGTCCGATTTATCAGATAGACCGCAGTCAAAACACAATGACCCCAAAAAGGAAGAGGCAGGTGAGCCTGGAAACATAAAGCACGAGCTACATTAAGAATATGCTGATGTTTGCGTTCCACACGCCCATTCTGCTGAGGGTGCCTACGCAAGAAGTCTCATGCAGAATCCCTTGACGACGAAAATAAGAGACCAAACACATGAACTCACTTCCATTATCAGTACGAATAACACGTACCGATTTATCAAATTGTCGCTTAAATCTTCCCCCTACAGTCACTTCTTCTCGGGCTCTTCTCTTCCCGGAAGCGATTAACCCTCATAGACAAAAAATTCAGCAATGTGGAAGCAACCTCCGTCTTATCATTCAATAAATAAACCCATGTCCCACGAGAGCAATCATCTACAATAGTCAAAAAATACCGTGCACCACAGAAGGACGGAACACGATACGGACCCCACAAATCACAATGAATCAGATGAAAAATCTCATGACTAACAGTCTGACTGAGAGGAAAACTACGACGATGTTGTTTAGCACGAAAACAAGCATCACATGATTTATGCAAATTACAAGAACTGGAATCAATAACAGGAACCTGGGACAATACTTGAGCAGACGGATGTCCTAAACGTTGATGCCACACATCGAGGGAAACCTTTCCAACACAAGAAACTGCCGTAGAAACCGACTCTCGAAAGAAGTAGAGACCACTCAACTGCTCACCCGCGCCAATCACCTTCTGGGAAGTGTGGTCTTGAATCACACAAAATTTGCTAGTAAACTGAGCGGTGCAGTCGGAACGATCCAACAATTGATATAATGAAATCAAGTTGCACCGAAGGCTGGGAACGTATAAAACATCATAAAGAGTTATATGAGATCCCAAATACACAGCCCCAGCCTTGGTAGCCACAGTCAATGAACCATTAGGCAATTGAACAGGACGGGCGGGAATATCCCGAACATCAGAAATATACTCCAAGAACCCTGTCATATGATGAGTTGCCCCACAGTCGTACATCCAATCAAACAAACCACACGTACTAGACAAGGGATTCAAAACTCCACTAATAGTGGAAGAGTCAACAGAACCGGCAACAAACGCATCACCGATACCACTGGAAAACGCTTCATTCGTACAAGCACCACTCTTGCCGTGAAGTCCACCACGGCGGCTACCGTTGGTACCAGAATCAGACATTAAAGACATAACCATGAAGAAACAATGACTGTAAAGAGAACGGAGCCGGGCTGTAGCATCTCAACTGTTGCTGGACGTGGGCGAAGGTCGAACAGCCTGGACGAGGACAACTCGAAAAAAAAACACTGACGGAAAAGAAAAATAACTTGCTAGGACTAGCAAAAGAAACCGAACACAATCATTATTTTTTTTTTTGTTTTTTTTTTTTTTGTTTTTGTTTGTTTGTTTGTTTTTTTTTTGCGATGTGAAGCTGGGGGTTCTATACTCAATCAAGCAACATCCTGGGAACAAATATGGCTTTGTTTGGGAGCACTTGTTCTACAAAAGTCCATCTTAAAAATGGACTTTTCATTAAGTGCATTTACAAAAGTTCTTACACAATTTTCACATATGTTTGGTGAATCTCATTTTAAATAAGTGCTTTAGTTACTTATTGGGAATAATTGTGAAATAGATTTTAGAAGTAGTTAATTCTCACTTCTACAAAATGGACTTATTGAGAAGTGACTTTTCTCAAAAGTGCATTCAATATAAATCACCAAACACCCTAAAATTATTCAGATGGACTTTTAAGTCTAG